ATATGGGCTTGCTCAAGGTGCCCTTGCTGCTTCCTACAACTCATCATTATACCCGCAGGTTACATGGTTACTCCCCAAATGTGCCTTAGTTTATTCTGATAACGTTAGGTTGTAAACTCATCCAAGAGCAGAAATGAAAAAGAAAAAGAGTAAATCATTTAAGATTTCCCTCAAGTTCTTTGTAATATATTAGTGCTGTGTAAGTCACTAAAATATAAAACTACTATTGATGGTCAAGTTTTAACATTCAGAGTCTAGGGTACTGTAATGTAAATGCATGATAGAATTACAAAGGGTGTGACACCGTTTTGCAAAAAAACTCTCTTTTCTCACTATGGAACCAATATTAAAGATTTCTAATATTGCATATTTAAAAGATTGATATGCAAAAAATGGTATTTGGATTTATTATAGCGGCCCAACTACCTAATGGCTGATGAGCCCCATTCTTTTAACAATAAAATTCGTAACTAAATCTACCGAGAACACCTCTACATCTACCAACGTACAGAATGGTAAATGTGCAATCTTCACAACTATCCAATATAAGTGATATGTGCATTGATCATACAATGATCTATGCCATGATATATGCACTGGCTATATATATATATATATATCAACAGAGCTTTAAACTGCAGTCTCCCCTAATTAGGAATCAGTCTGATGCCAGAGAGTTACATTTAAACATTTCCGTGGCTATTAAGGTCCAGACCTCAAACTCTTTAACCTTACCATGTCATATAGAGGTACTGTTTAATAGAGAATTCATGAGAATGAGCACCTGATGTACGTATCATTTTATAACCTATATAACACAGAAATACATTCATCTGAAGTCTTCCAGACGACACCGTTTAGGCAATTAAGGTCATATGCACTAAAAGCTCCCATAAAACGACAAATTATCCTACCGGCAACAGCTGGCTGCCAGTGATGTGCATATTAACATATATTTTTATCTGACAATTAGGGAAGAATCGTATTCTAGCAAGATCCAGACTATGAAGGGGAAATCAGAAGTGTGTGGGATTTCTTGGCTTTTCTTCCATTCTTTTGAGTTAAGAAGCAGAAATGACTCATAATAACAGAATACAGAATTAAGATATTCTTGACCTCATTTTCTTTTTTTTCGCAAGGAAGCATGAAGACCCTTGACATTTTCGGTTTTCTGTAATAGATATACCTAGTTATAATATCTGGCTCTATCTTCAGTTTAAAAGGGTGCAAAATCAAACATTTTTTAAAAGGTTATAGGCATATCATTTTAAAGCATCGTATGCTTTACATGCCATTGTTATATCTGCTGAACCGTTGGCTGATCACTAATGAGAATGACAGTAAAAATATTCGACCCTGTCCTAAAATTAACAGTGTACCTTCGCAGTTCACCTGTATTCATATAGCAACCATTTTTCCATCTCCTGTGACACTGCAGGAAAAAAAAAACAGATTTGATTTTCAATGCCCTGTAGACATGTTTTACTGGTACTATATAGCTGTAAAGTCACGTTACTGTGGCAAAAAGGAGAATTCCTGGTTAAAACATATGGAAGCAAGTTGCTGATCATGCAGAATGATTGCAGAAGTGTTCTTCACATCCAGAGAATTGATTTATTTTCTTTATTCCTTAACTCTAAAGGAATGACTTTGACTGTAGCCAATACTTGAAGGGGCATTTTGGGTGAAAAGCTGCACTAAGATTCGTCGCCATGCCGTTGTTATATGGAGGACATTAATCTAGAACGCAATAGATGCATTTATACAAGAACACTATACTGAGATAGATGAATTTGTAAAAACAAATCAAAAATGTGATTTCTCTTATAGGTACATAGTAATAAGTAAATATAAGTGGTACAATGCTGCTAAAAAGCAAGATAACTTTTTTTCTTTTATTAAGTTTGCTTAGCATATCTTGTTTCCATAAATCAGATCCTTTCTAGAACTGAACTGTCCAAGTGAAATGACAGCATGTTTTAAGAGTATTGTTAATTGTGAGAATACTAATTATATACAGACTGTCAATCAAGGGCGAGCAATAATTCTTTAGAGCACAGAGGTCGTTCGGGATGTTCTGCTATGTAGCATGTGTGTTTTATGGAATACCCCAGAGTGGTGACTTACACTTCCTATGTTAAAGCGGCAGGAAGACTGCCCTGGAATTTTAGAAGAAATAGATGCAGGTTCAATAAGACGCCCCATGCTGCAGAGCTTAACAGCTATTGTTCTATTTGTAAAAATGGACTCACACTTGAGTGGGTTTATCTGTCCTGATAAGAGCTCACTCCTCTCACTCTGGCTTGATAATTGGGCTGTTTTCTTGTTGCGGGAATGAGATCACTACTACTAAATATTCACAGGATGTGTCACCCATAAGTTTACAGCTTCACATTAATTTCCATGTGTTCAGTTACAGTGTGAGATGTGAATGCAAAATGAAATTGACTTTAGTTACTGCAAAGTAAGAAAAAGAGGGATATACTATATATATATATATATATATATTGAG